AGTGATAATCACAACGGCCTTACAACCACTCGCTCTGATCCCAGCTCTGACACTGACTCCATCTACGGCTCCAAGCAATCATTTCACCACTCGCTGCCTCGGTTTCCCATCCTGAAAAGCGAGGCACAAGCAGGTCACTGTGCATTTGCAAGTTCTTTGCAGTTTGAAAGCGCCTGTGTATACAGGGGGCTGTCCAAGGCGTGACTGCAGCTCACGCCGGGCATCAGAGCTGCCCCAAAGCACCCAGCTCAGGCACCGAGCGCAGCGTCCCCGCGGCAGCGCAGCCTTCAGCGAGGCAGACCAGTCACTGCCCGAGACCTTGGTGGCAAACCTGCCCTTGTACCTGTGCTGCCTCTGCTGCCGAGTCCCTGCCGAACTCGGCCAGCCACAGCTCAGCCAACATCAATGTTTGCTCACCGTTAGCATCAAGAAACTCTGAAAAACGCGCACGGTAAACAGGCAGTCTCTCCCCCACAGATTTCTTTGAAATTCTGGGGGAATTTGTTGATACTCCAACGCTGCAGAGCAGAAAAGACAGTGGCACGTTATGAAACACGGCAGGTAAGCACAGGGAACACCCCGGGTGAAGGGCAGGGCACGCTGGGGACGGAGGGGCACAGAACAGATTTTCCAGTTGCAACACTGGTAGATGAGAAAGGCCAAGTTCAGGCGCAGACGGTCACAGGCTGAACCCTGCTCCAGACAAGACAGCTCAGGTTCTGTACACAGACACAAGCCACGTTAAAACAAAGACTGCCTTGTCTTAGGCAGTCTGTTCTGCCATTTTATTTACTGGGGGCTAGGTGACCCACAGAAAAGGATTTGCATGTGCAAATGCAGCATTTGTACCTGTTAAACTTTATCCAGGCTATAAAAAATCCCACACATAAAGCCTAGCTAGAGCCACCAAAGGATAAAAAGATGTGGAAGAAGCCTACTGTAAAGCCTGTTAGAGCTTCCTAAAATGCAGCACAGGGGTTAAAGGAAATGTGTTCAGAGTCGGGGGAGAAAACTCAGATTTCAACATCTTAACTGAGTTTACTGGCTTCACGCTATTGCATTAAATTGCAAATCAATTTCCTGTCTCATTAAGAATCCCCTACATGTAATTGCTCTGAGCATTTGCTTTAGAGATTAATTTACAGGGATGAGTTAAGTGCCATGGGTTTTCTTCTCAGCACTGTAATGGCTCGCTGAGGAAAAGTCATCTAATTTTACAGGGTCCATCTTACTTGTCAGTAGTAAAAACCGACCCAACAAGGGTGCTGTAAGGAGTACGCAACAAGGGTGAAATGTTTTGAGACTCCTAAACAAGAGGAGCTTTGCAGTTCTGATTTATCCACATTTAACATAAAATAATCTTCTACCTGATACCACTGAACTTTCAGACTGAAGACTGCGCTTCTGGGTTTAGGCTGTCTGGACTAGATTCAGCGCTCGGCAAGAGGAGTTTGAATGAGGAACAGCTCACATTTGCAGCAGGACAGATGAAGTGCTGTGCCCTGAACAGGAGACACTCCTGTCTTTGCCCAAGGAATCAGCTGGAGAGAGCAGGCATCACATTCAGCTAACGCCTGGG